ATTTTCCAATCCACTGATAATGCATAAGAGGATATCATTGACTCTTTATAGGAGCTATGGATTCCACTATCTATGAATAACGAATCTACGCATACACGAGTCATACCCCCAATGTACCGGCAAGCGTACCTTTACATAATGTCAGGATGTCTCCCTTTAGTACATCAAAGGATACAAGTCAAATATACAGGTTCATCATCCATCTCAGGATTAAGATGACAACATATAATTCGTCAAAAGTGAATTGTTTTATTCAAAAAGAATTATTAATTAAAATAATTCAACTTTGGTTCGACCCAATATAGATTTCACCATTAGAAACTATATCAATGTCTCCACCCATGGAGTCCCACCTCCGACGACCAAGACAAGCCGTCTCTGTTAGGAAGTAGACAACATAACAATCTTAACATGAATAAAGCGCCCAACTTTATTCTCTCGATTGTGGATCATAAGATTTAGACTATCATCTTTAGATTCTTGTCTTCCGCATGTTCTTCACATTACATGCATGACCTAAAGATTTAGAATGACAGTCTCAGACTTTCAGTTTGCTTATCATACATTCAACTATTATGAACATAAAGAGGACAATACATAGATATATAAAATAAACAAATCTTTATTAATAGTCAAAATATCTCAAAGAATATTGTTACATTTATTCCTAAGGGCATAAACACTAACATAGTGAACACTTGGTAATCACCCCTTAATGTTCTATTCTTATAGCTATTATTATTACTTCCTACTGACTTTTGGGAATTTATCTAGTTGCCAGGAAATTTCAGTTCTCAACTTTGTTGACTTCTGAACTCATATTGCACCTGAATTTGTTTACTGCTACACTACCCATTTAATTTCCTTTTTATCTGTTTGAAAATTAAGGGTTTTCTCTTTAAATGTCAGAGCGTTTCTCTATATGCTGCTAACATTATACTGCACTAAGAGATTCCTAAGATTATGATTCTCTAACTGTATATGCACTGAGAATTCTTCTGCCTTAATTACGGTAAGAATTTATTAATTAAATTTACTGGTTCTTAAAATATGAACTAATCATAAAACTTGCTACAAACTTTAGGAATACTGATATTAATTCCGTAAATCTTTTAGTCACAAAATATGACAGTATATTATTGAGAAAAGTCATTGACTTAAACAAATAAATTTATATTATTTAATTCTATGATTTTCTCAGTTATTACAACTTGTCCTCTCTCTCTCTCTATCTATCTCTCTCTCTCTCTCTCTCTCTCTCTCCTCTTCATTTGTCTCTCCTCTTCGTTCGTCTTGTCCTTTTCTCCTTCATCTCCGCAGGCCGCCGCTCTCTCCTCTTCGTTCGTCTTATCCTTCTCTCCTTCATCTCCGCAGGTCGCCGCCGTGGTCGAGCTCGCCTCGGCTTTAACTAACTCTGGACCTGGACGACGATGGGAGTACACTACGGAACGACGTCACCAAGACAGATATGGGCGTGAAGGACATCGGCTAGTCTGGATATCTTCTCCTTATCGAGCAGTGAGATCAATGTCGGCCGCCTGACCATGGACGGTGACCATTGGTTTTTCTTAGCGCAACTCCACAACAAAATCGGGCTTCTCTGCGCGACTCCGCCACAGATCTGGTGGATTTGCGGCTCGCTATCACCGTGCGCTGGTGGACAGTGGCTCACCATCATCCTTTCTCACATTTTGTGTTTCTGTTGTTTTTCTTTTTTTTTCATACGAATTTGTTTGTAGTATTAAAAAAATTGTATAGATCTAGATATTTTGTGGATTTTTTTTGGTTTCTGTGTATTTTCTGGATTTTTTTTGGTATTCTGTGTATTTTTGTGGATTTTGTACGGTTTCGGAAACTTTAGGTACTCCAACGGCTGCAATGGCAAGATTACCGTCAATACTGCCGATTGGTGGCTGGATATCGACGGGTATCTCAATCAGATTCTAGTATCTCGGCCGGATACTTATATTTAGGTGGATACTGGCCGTTAGTAATCGATAACTTATTGGTATCATGGTGGTTATCGTCTCACTGATTTCTGACGACTATTGCTGCCAATATTGGCGGTTGTCTGGCAGATACCATAGAGTATCTCAGTTGGATACCGATTTTGTGGCCGGGTACTGACGAATATTTCGGTTGAATATTGGTATCGTGGTTGGACACTTACCGGTATCTTAAGGATGTATTTAGTATTCTATATATAGTGTAATGACGTGGTTGTCGTATTTTTTTGTAAGAGTTTATGTCTCCTGACATATATCAATCTAAGCCTAAAACTTGAGACTTTATTGGCAGCAGTCAGAAATCAGTGGGATGATAACCACTATGATACCAATAGAAAAAAAAAGAACCCTAAGGCCTAGTTCGATTCGCAGATTTAAATTTTCAATTTGAGCTGAGATATGATATTTTTTAAGAGCTTTTAACTGTAACAGAAAAAAATTAAATGTGATATTTTTTTAGAGCTTTTAACTGTAGAAACTTAAAATTAAAAACTTAAATCGGTAAAATGAATGATAAAAAAAAGGCGGACCCCAGTGCCAAAGAGACTCTCGTACTATGACAGGCTCGGGAGAAAACTCAATCTCATATGTACGCGGCCTTACCCCCCGAAAGAGAGGGCGTTTTCGGGATTCGAACTTTAGACCCCAGGTACAAACGCAAACACTCTCACCATGGTGTCAAGACCTGGGTAAAATGAACGATATCTAAAAAATTATACAAGGGTAAAATGGTCCTATCATGTCTAAGTTCATTATTATTGTGTCAGAAACTGGAAGAGTTTTACATGCCCGACAAAACTGGATCCCCATAGAAAATATGTGACAGGTAACCTTAATTTTTTCTCAAATTTGTGGCAATTTCTTTTAAAGCCCAATTTAAGGGATAGAGAGTCACACATTTTAAATGCCAGGGACAGGGACAAATATGAATATATATATATATTAACTATAGTGTACCGCACTAATATTATGGGAATTTGGGATACCAATTTCATTAAAGTTGAAAATAAAAGTACTAAAATGATAATTATTAGCTCTAGTGGTCAAAAGAAAGTAATGATTTGAGTTTAAAATTTAAATTTTATTATATTAAAAAAAATTTAAAATAATTATATTTAATTTTTTTATTATAATAAAAAATTTTAACATAAAATTACATTTTAATTTAACTTAAAAATTTAACGAACTAAACAGGATACACGTGTGTATGACCCACCATTGTATCTAACGGGTATTTTCAATTTCCCATTCAACAATGTCAGCTAGAGATCAACGACGGACACTCACACTCATCAATAATATTTTAACTACCTAGCTACCACAGAATTGAGAATACCATACACATTCGACAGCACGAGATCAACTACCTTATAGCTCTTCCCATTTGAGTGGAGTCTTTTGTTTTTTGTTTTTTTTTTCCTCTCATCATGGAAAATCAAAACCAGAAGAAACCCAGAGTTCTATGCATCCACGGATTCAGAACGAGCAGCGAAATCCTCAAAAGGATGCTTCAGAAACGATGGCCCGAGACTGTGCTTCAAAAGCTGGATTTGGTTTTCCTCGACGCCCCATTCCCAGCCCATGGAAAGTCGGATGTTGAAGGCATTTTTGATCCTCCTTACTACGAGTGGTTTCAAGGCAACCAGGTTTGACTTTGAGCTGATCCCAAAAAAAAAAAAAAAAAAAAAAAAAAAAAAAAAATCTTTATCAAACGTACTAATTTTGGGATTGATTTCCTTTTCGTCGCACGTTTTTTTATTATTATTTTTTTTCGCCTTTTCTGTGCTATTTTAGGATTTTACTGAGTATAAGAATTTCGAAGAATGTTTAAAGTACATAGAGGATTACATGGTTAAGAATGGTCCTTTTGATGGATTTTTGGGGTTCTCTCAAGGTGCCATTTTGATCGCGGCTTTGCCTGGGATGCAAAATGAGGTAACAATGAGATTTTTTATTGTCTTAATTCTATAGTATCACACAAAGGTTGAATTGATCAATTATTGAGTTATTTTATTTTATTTTTTTTAATAAACTTAGAGTCCGTTTATTTCACTGATTTGAGCTTTTAATTTGAATTAAGATGTGATTTTATGTGAGAATTTTTTACTGTAATAAAAAAGTTAAATGTGACTGTTTTTTAGAATTTTTTACTATAATAAAATTCGAATCAGTGAAATGAACAGAGTCTTAAAATGCAATTATGAAATGGGAGAAAAAAAACACTTGTATTAATTAGTTGGTATAGTGCAGTTTATTTAAAGGCAGTAAAGAGTTAGGAGATTAGATTAAAAATGACTGAATGTGGAAAATGCTTGCAGGGAGTCGCTCTTACAAAGGTACCAAAGATTAAATTTTTGATAATAATATCAGGAGATAAGTTTGGAGGAGCCAAATTTACAGCTCCTAGGCTGGCTGCTAATGCATTTTCTTCTCCTATTGAGTGCCCTTCTCTCCACTTTATAGGTAACTCGAATACCAAAAATACCTTATGCCGTTTATTATTATTATTATTATTATTATTATTTTAAGGAATGATAACAAAAATCTCCCATGTATTTTTATCAAAATGAGGTTTTTAACCTTATATTTTTCGAAATAAATATTGTATCTGTACCTTATATTTTAGAAATCATGTTGGGAGGGTTTTAATAAATTAAATTGTTATCTCCTTAAAAGGGGTGGCAGAGTCAAAATTTTATTTGAGGAGGGGGAGGGTTTTAATAAATTAATTTGTTATCTCTTTAAAGGGGTGGTGGACCCAGAATTTTGTTTGGGGGAGTGTAAGGTAAAAAATATGAAAAGCTTTCAAAACCATAAAATATCAACTCTTAATACTATTACATAGTTGGAAGGACATAAGTTTTCAAGTTGTTGAATTTTTTGCTACGCGATCATAGTAAATTTTCTTAGAACCTCAGTTTTTTCTTGGTTTATTATTACTTTATGCGTACAATTTAGTTAAAAAAATGAAAAGTAGAGCACTTATAAAAAATCAGTTTGATGTGACAAATTTGAAAATAAATTACTTCGGGGTACATAAGATAAAATAATATTTTAAAAGGTCCTGGGAAAAAACATGTTTAATAGAGATGCATTTAAGAAAAATTATTTTGATAGGAAAATTTGAAAAAAAAAAAAAAAATATATATATATATATATAATATGCCATATTTATAAAAATATTGTATCAAAGAACTACAAGAATGCATGTGGAAAGAAAGTTTTAAGTAGGGACACATTTGAAAAAGAAAAAGATTACTTTAACATGGGCAAATAAATTAGAAAGAAAAAAATGTTTCAATAATGACATATTTTTTAAAAAATTAATATGAATAAATTAGAAAAAACTTTTGTTAATGAGGAGGTATGTGTAAGATCTTGTTAATGAGGGGCATACGATAAAAGTTTGAAAAACTACATGCAATAAAACAAATTTTTAAAAATTAGGGTGGGCATATAAGAAATTATTTGAAAACTGCATGCAATAAAAAAAATTCAAAAATCCAGGAGGGGCATAGCCTCCCTCCGCCGGGTCTTTAACATAATTTGTAAAGCGCAGGAAATAGTTTTAATATGATTTGTAAAGCATAAAGGATAGATGCAACATTACTGTCTAAAATCACATAATGAAGCACAACATTTTGATAAAACATCGAGAGGATATTGTTATTACAATTTTTTTTTGTTTAAAAATATGTGATGCGGTTTATGTATAAGATATAGTAGTCAAACCAAGAAATGATGCCAATATTTGAGATTTGAGTTGTCTGGTAAAAATTTTCAACAATATTTTGAAATAGTATTTTGTCCCACAAAAATTTAAATTAACTTTTTTGTTCTAATATTTTCTGTCACATAAAAATATTTGAGTTGATATTTGAGTTGTGAAAAGAATACACACGAATCTCAGTAAGAATTCAATTTTGTTATGAGGAAAGTTGTTAATAAGTGCTCTAATCTTTTTTTTTTTTAAGAGATATGGATTGTATAATTGGTGAAGGATTCATGGTATAATGTAGGAGAGCTGGACTTTTTGAAGCCAGGGGGCACAGTATTAGTGGAATCATTTTTGGACCCAGTTGTTATTCATCACCCAAAGGGGCACGTTATTCCGAGACTTGGTTAGTATTTATAACCCACTTTTAGACCTTCGGAAACAATAAGCCTCAACTGAATTTTTTTTCTTCTTCTTCTTTGTCATCAGATGAAAAGGAAACGGAAGTTGTGCTTGAATTCATTGAAAAGATTCAGAATTCGACATAGCGCATTCACTACAGTTTCTCTGGCCATGTGGAGCTAGAACTTTATTTTTTATTTTTATTTATTTATTTTAGGAGCATGACTTAAATAAAAATTTTCAATTAAAATTCCAATGCAATAATCTTTTGGGAACTTCTACGGTAGGATCAATCTTTTTTAACTACTTGTAAATACCGTTATTTTAACCCTTAGATTATGATTTCAATGGTTTGATTGGTTAGTGTCCACGTCTTTACACAATGCCACACAAAACTACTATATCACACATTAAACGGTTGAAAATTTATGGTAAAAACAACGGTATTTACCGGGTAGTTAAAAATGATAGGTCCTACAGTTGAAATTTCGATTTTTTTTTTTTACCTCAATCTATCAATTTCTATCTTTTTTTTTTTTTTTCCATTTTGAATGAACTAACCTTGTAATAAAGTTAAATTTGATTTTTAAAGTTCAGAGACCAAGTAGTATAGTTGTTTTTTTGGTTTACTTGAGATTGTTAAGTTTGAAAATACACTTAAAAATCAAGACTTCACATAGAATTGAAATTTTGTTAAGAAATGGATATAGATGTGATAAAATTTAAAAATTTCAGGGCAGCAAATAAAGAGGGAAAATGTTAAAGAATTTCACAGTGGGGCTAAATTTTAAAAGGACCCCTCGGGCTCAGGCGCCCCTGCTTCTCGGTGTTCCTTCTGAGTATCTATCTACACACCGTTTTTCATTCCCATAATGAGAAACAACTTTTATTCAATTATTAAAAAATAAGTTTTCTCTATTGTCATCCCCTAATAAAGCTTACCAGTGGAACATCTTATTTTAACCGTTAGATTACTTTTTTAAAGGTTGGATCTGCAGAAGGAGTAGTTTTGTGCGGCGCACTGTAAATTTTTAATACGGACCTGCACAGATTTAACTGTTGAAAACTTAATCCAATAGTCAAAATAGAGCATTCGACCGGTATATTTTTTTTATAAGGTCTCACTGTAAAGACTCCCTAAAAAAAATGTATTATCTGGCTTTTTTTTGTGTGGAAAATTCTATGGTGTAGGCAGCTGTTTTCCCGATCAATATAGATAATCCAACTGTAATTTGTGGTGAGATTTGCCGAAAATAATGTTTCGCCCGACTGTAAGCCACAGTATTTACAAGCGCACATATCTATTTTCCAAAACTATCTAGTTGTATATGAGAGAAGGAAAAAAAAAAAACATGTAGTTGTATATATATACATAACATTTTCTCGCAAATTTTTTATTCAGGTCCACTGCTACTTGTACATATAAATAAGCTAATAAGCTATTGATGAGAATATAGTAGCACCAATAAAGGATCTATTACAGATACCCAGCGGGTTAATTACAAGAGCAAGGGATAAAAAGTTGAAAGAAGCATTTAATGGTTTAATTCAAGAACTTTGGGTTGATTCTAAAAGGTGAAGCCAAATATGAGTTCAAATGATACACAAGCCTTAGTCCATGTCATCAAAGCAATTGAGAAGGCTGAATAGAAGACTTGGGCGTAAAGCAAACTTCTTGGGCGTGTAGCATCTAGGCTGATTTCCTATTTCCAGCTTCCAAATAAGGAGCAGTTTCCTTGTTTCCTATTTTTAAGTTTCCTTTTCTTTAGTTAATTAGTTGTCAATTTTATTCTATTTCTTTATTTGGATATCATTTAGTTCCCTAATTATAAAGGCGTTATTGCCAAAAGATAGTTTCCCTTTTCTTGTTTTAGGCATGTAAGGCAATTCAATTGTCTAATTATTTTGTCTCCTTTTCCTCAAGGGTGTTGAACGTGTAAGGGCTGTTCTCAACCTATTTAAAGGTGTTTAACACCCAAGCAAGGAGACATTATTTTTATAGATATTGAAATAATATTTTAGTGAGAGAGTTTTCCTTTTTAATTCCTTAAATAACTTTCTGAACTTATCAAGGATTCCTTGTAGGGTTCAAAACCAAACTTATCACTCTTCAATTCTTGTTCTTGATTATTCTTGAGTGTGGCGTCTATCTTAGCATACCTTTGGTTCTTATCTTCCATAGATGACAGGTCAAGGTTTACCAAAAGAATCTGTTCTTTGAATATCCTAGGTTTTTTTTTTTTTTAATTCCAATCTTTGTTCTGAGTTTTCACCAACCTTGGAATTTAACTCCTTTACCTTTGAGTGAACATGTTAATTTAGATGGGAAAAAGAAAGCTAAATTGGTCAAGCAAATTCATGAGAAGGCACAGCTAAACATAGAGAGGAGAACCGAACAATATGCTCACCAAGCAAATAAAGGACGCAAGAAAGTTGCGTCTGAGCCTGGTGATTGGGTTTGGTTGCATTTGAGGAAATAAAGGTTCCTAATTCAACAGCGTTCCAAACTACTTCCAAGGGGAGATGGTCTATTTCAAGTGCTCGAGAAGATTAATGATAATGGCTATAAGCTAGATCTTCCAAGTGAGTATAATGTAAGTGCAAATTTTAATGTTGCTGATTTATCTCCTTATGGCACAGATGAAGATTTGAGGACAAATCCTTTTCAAGAAGGAAGGACTAATGAGAATATAGTAGCACCAACAAAGGATCCATTGCAGATACCCAGTGAGCCAATTACAAGAGCAAGGGCTAAAAGGTTCAAAGAAGCACTCAATGGTTTAATTCAAGCACTTTGGGCTGATTCTAAAAAGGTGGAGCCAAATATGAGTCCAAATGATGCACAAGCCTTAGTCCATGTCATCAAAGCAATTGAGAAGGCTGAATAGAAGACTTGGGTGTGAAGCAAGCTTCTTGGGCATGTAGCATCTGGGCTAATTTCCTATTTCCCGCTTTCCAAATAAGGAGCAGTTTCCTTGGGTGCGTTTGGAATTGGTTTCAAAATGATTTTGTTTTCTGTATGAAAATAGAAATGAAAACGTTTTCATTTTCATTTTGGAATTATTTCTGAAATGCGTTTAGTAATTTTATTCAGAGATTGATTTCAGTTTTTAAAACAAAAACTGAAACTGCGTTTGGTGGTTTAATTTTTGAAAACATGTAATAATATTTAAATTAATAATATATTGAATAAATAATAATTTTAAATATATTAAATAATAATATATTAAATAAATATTATTATTAAATATATTAAATAATAATATATTAAATAAATATTATTATTAAATCAGAGTTTTAAAGTCCCAATCGGCGATCAAATCAACAACACAGTGCAATTGCTTATCAAATCAGTGAACAAATAAATAAACAATACAGTGCAATCCAAAGCACCGATTCATATCAAGAAATCAAAACAGATTTCAAGGTTAAAAGCTAAAGTAAAAGGTTAGGAACTCACAGCTGTTTTGACTAATTCGTCCGTATAAGCGCCGGCGCGGATCGGGGAGGCGGCGACGCGGCGAGCGGACGATCTGCGGCGCTGAGAGAAGGACTGTTGTCCGATCCACAACGAAGAAGATGAGTTAAGCTTCACTAAGTTCGCGCACGCCATTAGAGAAGACGAACAAGAAGAAGAAATTGCAGAAGAGAGAGGCGACAGAGAAGAGCGAAGATGGTGGCGGGCCAGTCGGAGAAGACGGTGGCGGGCAGTCGGAGACGAGCGTAACGGTGGGCTTTCGCCGGATGTTCTTCTTCGGCTGGAGAATAGAGAGAAGAAAAAAAAAATTGAAATCCGTTTTCAGAAAACGAAAACGTGAAAATAAAAACGTATTTTTTTCGTTTTCAATTTTTCACAAAAAGACAAAAACGTTTTTGTTTTTATTTTCTAACACAAATTTCGGCAAACGCGTTTTTCATTTCTATTTTTAATTTTTTGCTTCGAAAAACGTGAAAAATGAAAACAAAAACGGTAACAAACAGGCCCCTTGTTTCCTATTTTTAAGTTTCATTTTCTTTAGTTAATTAGTTGTTAGTTTTATTCTATTTCCTTATTTGGATATCATTTAGTTTCCTAATTGTAAAGGCGTTATTATCAAAAGGTGGTTTCCCTCTTCTTATTTTAGGCGTGTAAGGCAGTTCAATTGTCTAATTATTTTGTTTCCTTTTCCTTAAGGGTGCTGAACGTGTAAGGGCTGTTCTCAACCTATTTAAAGGTGTTTTAACACCCAAGCAAGGAGACATTATTTTTATGGATATTGAAATAATATTTTAGTGAGAGTTTTCCTCTTTAATTCCTTAAAGAACTTTCCAAACTTATCAAGGATTCCTTGTGGCGTTCAAAACTAGACTTATCACTCTTCAATTCTTGTTCTTGATTATTCTTGAGTGTGGTGTCTATCTTAACATACCTTTAGTTCTTATCTTCCATAGATGACAGGTCAAGGTTTACCAAAAGAATCTATTTTTTGAAGATCCTAGGTTTTTTTTTTTTAATTCCAATCTTGGTTCCGAGTTTTCACCATCCTTAGAATTTAACTCCTTTACCTTTGAGTGAACATGTTAATTTAGATGGGAAAAAGAAAGCTGAATTGGTCAAGCAAATTCATGAGAAGGCACAGCTAAACATAGAGAGGAGAACCGAACAATATGCTCACCAAGCAAATAAAGGACGCAAGAAAGTTGTGTTCGAGTCTGGTGATTGCGTTTGGTTGCATTTGAGGAAAGAAAGGTTCCTAATTCAACAGCGTTCCAAACTACTTCCAAGGGGAGATGGTCCATTTCAAGTGCTCGAGAAGATCAATGAAGCTAGATCTTCCAAGTGAGTATAATGTAAGTGCAAGTTTTAATGTTGCCGATTTATCTCCTTATGGCACAGATGAAGATTTGAGGACAAATCCTTTTCAAGAAGGAAGGAATAATGAGAATATAATAGCACCAACAAAGGATCCATTGCAGATACCCAGTGAGCCAATTACAAGAGCCAGGGCTAAAAGGTTCAAAGAAGCACTCAATGGTTTAATTCAAGAACTTTGGGCTGATTCTAAAAAGGTGGAGCCAAATATGAGTCCAAATGATGCACAAGCCTTAGTCCATGTCATCAAAGCAATTGAGAAGGCTGAATAGAAGACTTGGGTGTGAAGCAAGCTTCTTGGGCGTGTGGCATCTGGGCTAATTTCCTATTTCCCGCTTTCCAAATAAGGAGCAATTTCCTTGTTTCCTATTTTTAAGTTTCATTTTCTTTAGTTAATTAATTGTTAGTTTTATTCTATTTCCTTATTTGGATATCATTTAGTTTCCTAATTGTAAAGGCGTTATTGCCAAAAGGTGGTTTCCCTCTTCTTATTTTAGGCGTGTAAGGCAGTTCAATTGCCTAATTATTTTGTTTCCTTTTCCTTAAGGGTGCTGAACTTGTAAGGGCTGTTCTCAACCTATTTAAAGGTGTTTTAACACCCAAGCAAGGAGACATTATTTTTATGGATATTGAAATAATATTTTAGTGAGAGAGTTTTCCTCTTTGATTCCTTAAAGAACTTTCCAAACTTATCAAAGATTCCTTGTGCGCGTTCAAAACTAGACTTATCACTCTTCAATTCTTGTTCTTGATTATTCTTAAGTGTGGCGTCTATTTTAGCATACCTTTAGTTCTTATCTTCCATAAATAACGGGTCAAGGTTTACTAAAAGAATATGGTCTTTGAACTAGGTTTTTTTTTTTTAATTCCAATCTTGGTTCCAGGTTTCACCATCCTTGGTGAGGTTCATATCAGCTACTGTCTAAGACTTGGGTGTCCACAAAGAAATCGGAAACAACATTAAAATATATCATAAACATATACAGTTATAAATACAATAAAAATATTAATAAAGAAAACAAAAAAGGGAAATTGTACTAAATAACATATTTATAAAACTAAATTAACTAAGTAGCAGACTTTAAAATTACTTAAAGTAAATAATAGTTTATCATGTAAATGTTTCTTTTACGACTGGTAAAAAATAATTTACATAGTAAAAATTTTTATTTACATGTAAAAAAATCTTTTTACCCGTCTTAAAAAGAAAATTTACGTGGAAAAAAATCTCTTCACTAATTGTAAATAAAACATTTATATAATAAATTACTATTTATTTCAAATAATTTTAAAATATATAATTTATTTAATTTAGTTTTATAAATCTAATATTTACTAGATTTTCGGAAGTCCCAAAAAGGTAAGCTTTATAAGCATGATAAACGTTTCTTATTTAAATATATGTTTTCAACTTTGAAAACAATTATGTATAATTCTATCCTATCATGGTATAACTCTTCCTGTGGTTCCATGTGAGCATTTCCATCATGATAAGGTAGAGTTGACTTGTACGTAAATTGTTTCCATTAATGTAACAAACCTACTTGCATTAAGAGTGCGGTTAGCCCCTTCCTCGGCACCGGTAATAAATGGATAAACATACTCTCAGTGCAAGTGGTTTTTTTTTTTTTTTTTTTTTTTTTTTTTTTTTAAAATTTTTTCCCTATGATCAAACAGAAGGCTTCCCATAAATTCTGTCCTGAAATGACCATATCTAGATAATACCCACCCCTACACGCCTTTACTTGGTACTTACTGAATCTCTCATAAGTACTATTTTCATAAAGTCCTTGGATCAAATAGGAAACACATCCACATATATTCGCGAGCTTGTGACGCTTGTAAGGACTTATGTCACGCTTATAACCATATTTTTCATACCTCTCACTTGACAAAACTTGAGAGTAAATTTTTTCCTCCGCATCAGAGTCAAGTTCTAACCCCTCTGGTACTTCACTTAAACGACCATGGCGAGTCTTGATCATTTGTTCATGCATTAGGCGAAGTGTTATAAACTTTCAAGTTAGAGTAAAAAAAATACAAAATCAAATGAAAGTGTTTAGTAGTTCTTACATAATCTTCATTTGCTCTCATATGCAAAAACTAATGCTCCATGCCAATGAAAAATTGTTCATATCTATTTCTGTTTTGACTTTAGAAGAAATTTCATACTGCAATGAATAAAAGAATGTTAACAAGGAAGCCCTATCAGTTTGGAGCTGCTCAAGTTATCCTCAGTTGCACCAATAACTAGTTGCTGAGAGTCTGAGACATCAAATATCTATGCTTGAGTCTTAGTAGGGAGCTTGTCAGACCAAGTAACACACTACAAAGATTATGATACACATATAAAGAAAGATCACAAAGAATGATAAGTTCAAGAAATCTTACCATTCTTCGATCAATCATTGAGCATCCATAGGCACAAAGCAAAGTTGGGAACGTATCAAATCTAGGTAACTACTATATTAAGCTATAAAGGTGTTTTAAATCACTAAGAAATTGCGATAAGTTACTACTTAAGGTCAGTACCTTGAAAGTGGTATCTGCCAAGTTTGAGTAGGATGCCTGTCCATGCAAATATGTTAGCATCTAGCTGCACATTCCCCTCCTCAAAATAATGGCCACCCACCTGAAAGAAGAAAGTACCAAGTATATGACTAAGATGAAAAACACTCCTGCTCTAAGATAAATACTCTTTCAGGATCTAGCAAGAGGCAAGGTAGAAATCACCTCCTGAGAGCAAGTAAGAAGTTAGCCAATTTTGGTCAAATTAAAAAAAAAAATGGATGCAATTAGAATTCGTCAGCCATAAGGAGCTAGAAAAGGATGGTACCACTGTGTCGTTCAGCTATAAAAAGTTGCTTTTAGTTTCAACTTTCAAGCACATAAATAAAGCAATTACAGAGTTATCTAGTGGATCTTCTGTTACAAGGTTAAAAGGAGAGAGCATTGTAAAGACGCGATAAGAGGGATCAAAACCAGTCTTCACTAAAGATTTTTTGTTTACCATTTAAGGAAAGTTAATAGGATTGAAGAGGAAAGTAAAGTAATAAGAATGAGAATCGTTGAATCCTTTCTAGTGTTTACTAGTCTATTTGATGATGTACTGAGCAACAATCTGATTCCCTTTCTAGTGTTGACTAAACTTAGGAATAGCAATGCTACAAATGTAATTAACTAAAACGAATGTAATTAAATGGTTATGGGCTCATTACATGTGAACTTAACAAGGGTGTATACCCTTCCATAAGGAATCAATACTAAAGGGATTGCAAGGATTAGTATTCCTCTTTTTCATTCTTTATATTGGGTATTCCTAATTTGTAAGTAAACACATGATTAAAAGAGAAAGGGAATCACTCCTATTCCCTTTCCCTTTCATGTGAAGTAAACACACCCCTAAATTAATAAGAAACAGAAGACAGTGGATGCGGGACATTGGAAAAACTCCAGTACATCTCACTTCGGACAATGTAAAAATAAAATAAAGGACATGCCAAGGGAAGTCTGATCAGTGGATCTGAACAATTTTACCAGGTCAAGCAATTCCCAGCCAACCTGAATGTACGGAACACTTCTTATTGTTATATTCCCTCTTCTAAACTATAAATGTTGAGTCAAACCTTATCTCTATTGTATTTAATATTCTTCAAGTCAAGATATTCAGTTTGTTTATTCAGAGACAGCTAAGGGAAAATGACAATGAGTTTTTTGGCAGAGGGTGATGGAGCAAAACGGCAGCGTTTTGCTTATGCACTAAATTTTGAAAGTTGAAGACCATTCTACAACAACCGTACTCTGCAAGTTGTACATTTTTGTATATATTGTATTTTACTGTTATTATCTTAGGCCCGTTCACTTCGTGAATTTGAGTTTTCAATTCGAGCTGAGATGTAACATTTTGTGAGAGCTTTTTACTGTAGCAAAAAAAGTTAGATGTGACATTTTCTGAGAACTTTTTACTGTAGAAACCTAAAACTGAAAACTCGAATCGGTAAAATGAACAAGACCTTAGTTGTGACAAAATTGGAGAGAGAAAGAAAAATCTGGTGAACAAAAGAACCTTAGAGAGAGAAAAAGGGATTCTAGAGTGAGAAAGGGGAGAAAAACGGTTTTGGTTTTTTCTCAGGGTTTCTTGCTAGTTTTCTCGGGAAAGTGAGGTTCTGAGTGATTTTTCTGTTGCTTCATCATCTCTCTGTAAGTGACTTGAAGGAACATTGTTTAATGCAAATCGAATTCCTCTGGGGAGTTCGCGGAGACTTAGGCAAATAATTGTGCCGAACTCCGAGATCAATTTCAGGTTGTGTTGTTTTGTTTCTTGTTCTTGTGTAATTGGTGATATTCTGGTTGTTATTAGGTGTTAATTTTATAACAATAAAACCAAACAAAAGAGAGCTTGCATCAGTAATATCACTATCTCTACTACTGCCACCACCACCACCACCATAGAACCAAACAAAAGAGAGCTTGTACTATTATTATTATAGTTATTATTACCTAAACCTTCTCATTTCCTTCTCTCTTTTTCCAACTTTTTCTGTAAGTAAATATCGCGTTGAAGCAATATCTTTCCAAAACCAAGAAATGATTTTAGAGAAATTTCCAGCAGCTATTCAGGCCTCTCCGAGGATGGTCTTGTGCAATTCCAATCCTTGTGTAATGCATCAAGAAAACATTAAACCACTATTTGAGAACCCTAAACTATCAAAGTTGGGAATGTATCAAATCTAGGTAACTACTACCATGTAAACGAGCAGAATTCAAAATGCGTCGAAAGAACAAGAAGCGAATTTCACAGAGAGATAGAGAGAGAAACAAAGTAAATTCACCTTTGGAAACGTATTGGATTTCGCCAGGAGGAGAGTTGAGGAGGAACCATTTCGCAATCTCCTTCTTCTGGGCCTCGCTTAGCTCTGCTTCTTCTTCGTGCACCATCTCTCTCTCTCTCTCTCTCTCTCTCCCCCTCTCTCTTCTGTGATTCGAATGGAAGTGAACACTCGGGGAAGAGGGATCTAGAGCGAGAGAGAATTTTTGACGGTGGTGGGTGCGTTTTGAATTATTAAAGTGTAGATTAAGGTTTCGTTTATTTCACTCATTCGAGTTTTCAGTTTTAAGTTTTTACAGTAAAAAATTTTTAAAAAATGTCATATCTAACTTTTTTTATTACAGTGAAAAACTCTTAAAAAATATTACATCTCAACTCGAATTAAAAATTTGAATCCGTACAGTAAACGAGACTTAAAATATTTTTCCCACCAAAATTTTGTTGTTTTTTTTTTACTATGGTAGTGGGATTCATTCTCTGATTTGAATCATGATTTGTTACAGTATTTTTTCTCATAAAAAATACACATAAATCAAAAATAGTTCGAATCACATAGTTTGAATCCTCAAATCAAATGAACCCTAAATATTTGGTAGGAAACATTTATGTTTTTACTTTAATTACCAAATATTATTTTAGTAGTTAAAAGTATATATTTTGCTACTAAATTTTAATTTGATAATAGAAAGATATATATTTAAAAATTAAAAAAATACTTTTGATAACAAAAATTATTTTAAACTCATTATTTTAGTAATATTATAATAACAAATATAGTTTTAAAATTGAAATATATTCTTTTATGTTAAAATACAATTAAATAGTAAGATCATATACTCTACATATAACATATACTTAATTAATAAGATCATATATGTATAACTAAACGTGTCTCTTATTACACTTACACAGAACAACTAAATTATCAAATACTTGTTATACAAAATATACTAGGATAATTATTAAACTTAATTTAGGACATATTCATGAAAAATTAGAACAAAAAAAAAAGCACAAAATATAATTTTTAAAGTTTTTATACGATTTGCTACCAAACACAACTTTTGGTAGCAAAAACGCCTTTTTGCCACCAAAATATGAATTTGGTAGCATAATCAAATTTTTTGCTACTAAAATTTAGTATTAGAAAATTATGTTTTTTGTTACCAAACACTATTTTGATAACCGAAAGTATATTTTTTGCTATCAAATTTTAATTTGGTACGAGAAAGACATATATTAAAAATTAAAAGAAAAACATTTTAATGACAAAAATTATTTTAGAGTCATTGTTCTAGTAACATTATAACAAAAAATATAGTTTTGAAGTTGAAATACATTATTCTATGTTAAAAAACAATCAAATTGTAAGATCATATACTACTCTACGTGGAACATATACTTAATTAACAAAATCATATATATATATATATATAACATGAATATGTCTCTTATTACACCTACACAAAACAACTAAATTATCAAATACTTGTAATACAAAATATATTATGATGATTGTTAAACTTAACATAGGACATATTCACGGAAAACTAAAAAGAAAAACAATACATGCACAAAACATAAGTTTTAAAGTTTTTATATAATTTGCTACCAAACACAACTTTTAGTAGCAAAAAACGCCTTTTCACCACCAAAATATGAATTTGTAGCATAATCATGTTTTCTGCTACTAAAATTTGGTACCAAAAAATTATATTTTTTGTTACCAAACATTATTTTGGTTGCTGAAAGCATATTTTTTGCTACCAAATTTGAATTTAGTACCAGAAATATATATATTAAAAATTAAAAAAAGAACATTTTAATGACAAAAATTATTTTAGAATCATTGTTCTAGTAACATTATAACAAAAAACATAGTGTTGAAATTGAAATACATTATTCAAAGTTAAAAATCAATCAAATAGCAATATTATATACCACTCTATGTGGAACATATACTTAATTAACAAGATCACATATATATACACATGAACATATCTTTTGTTACACCTACACAAAATAACTAAATTATCAAATAATTATACAAAATATACAAGGATGATTGTTAAAACTTAATATATGACATATTAATGGAAAACTAAAAAAAAAAAAAAACAATACAAGCACAAAATATAATTTTTAAAGTGTTTATATGATTTGCTACCAAACACAACTTTTGGAAGCAAAAAAACATCCTTTTGCCACTAAAATATGAATTTGGTAGCAAAATCTTTTTTTCTGCTACTAAAATTTAGTAGCAAAAAATTATATTTTTTGGTAGCAAAAAATTATATTTTTTGGTAGTAAAAACTTGAATTTTCACTACCAATCTTTGGTGGCAGATAGTTATATTTTACTTCCAACACTTAGTAGCAAATGTTATATGTTTTACTTTCAAAAATAATTCGGTAGTAAATACCTCGGGCGGGTAAAATTTTTGCTTCCCGCCAACATTTTGTTATCAAAACATGTTTGGTAGTAAAAAAGTAATATTTCGCTACAAAATTTTAGTGGTAGAATCTTATACTTTTGTTACCAAATATTGTCTTGGCAGCAAAAAACTATTGGCGGGAACCAAATTTCATTTCCCGCCATGTTATTTGTTTTCAAATTATATTTTGTAACAGATTATGTAGTTTTCTCTACTAAATTTGGTAACTAAAACCTTGATAATTTCAACTACTAAAGTTTGATAGTAAAAAATGTGTTTTCTGCTACCAAAAAATGTTTAGTATCAAAAAATTTAATCTCTTAAAATAATTATTCTTGTAGTGAAGCCTATGGTTTACTGCGGGGTCACCATTTTCAGCGCTCCGTTTTGAAAAGTTAAGATTGACTTCATTGGAATTCACTGTTTTCGAATTGGGAGAATCGAATGGTCGCTTTTCAATGTAACAGAAATGCATGTCTTCAGATAAATTAACAGGGGCTTTCATTTGCAGATCAAGATTCTAATTTCGAACTTCATCACGTAGTTGTTCGGATAAAATTTATAGATGTCACGCTCTGAAACTGACATTTCCATTATTGTATATGGACCGCTGTTAGCGATCGACGAAGACATATGTGATGGAGAGAATTTCATTCAGGCTATATTTTTTCCATTTGATCACAAAGAAAATATATGTCTGAACCCTAATGGAAAGAAACTGCCTAAAGAGAAAAAGAAAGAGAACTTCTTTTCGCTACCAACGTCTTCAAAATGAAAATAATAAATGACAATAGTAGTAGACTGAAAACAACTTTGCCATAGTGGTAGTCAAGTTATTACTACTACTACTATTATTATTATTTATTATTATTATTGTTGTTATTATTAATATTAATATTAATATTATTATTCTTATTATTATTAAAGGGGCTTAGTGGTCATCAGCTTTGTTTTTCATGTTATTGGTTTATAATAATTAACGTAATGCATAGACCTTCATGACTGCGCGCCATTCCCTTTCTCAAATAAATAAAAGCTGGATTCGTCAAATTAGTGTGTATATACACACACACACACACACACACATATCCTTTTCTTTGTTCTTTCTGTTGTGTTTTTCGCCTCTAAACTCTATAAAAGCAATAGTATAGAGATTTTTTTCTCCTACACGACTTTTTTTTTTTTTTTTTTCATTTTGTATAGTGACCATATATGTATAGATTTTCTCATTTAATAAGGCCAGCTAATTTAGTACTACAAGTTACGTGATTGATGATCAGAGGAGAAATAGATCTTAATTTGTCCCCACTGAGTATTCTCTTCTTCTTCTTCTTCTTCCATATATGTATGAATTTTCTCATTTAATAATGCCAACTTATTTGGTACAATAAGTTACATGATTGATAATCAGAGGGGAAGTAGACCTTAATTTGTCCCCACTGAGTATTCTCTTCTCTTCTTCTTCTTCTTCTTCCATATATGTATGGATTTTCTCATTTAATAATGCCAGCTAATTTGGTACTACACAGGTTACATGATTGATGATCAGAGAGGAAGTAGACCTTAATTTATCCCCACTGATGTATGAATTTTCTCATTTATAAATGCCAGCTAATTTGGTCTTCCATATATGTAAGGATTTTCTCATTTAATAATGCCAGCTAATTTAGTACTATATGTTACATGATTGATGATCAAAGGAGAGGTAGACTTTAGTATATCCCCACTGAGTATTCTCTTATTCTTCTTCTTCTTCTTCTTCTTCTTCTTTCTAGATCTCTCTTTTCATGGAAAATCAAACCCAAAAAAAACCCAGAGTTCTATGCCTCCACGGGTTCAGAGCGAGTGGTGAAATCCTCAAAAGCATGCTCCAGACACGGTGGCCTGAGACTGTACTTGAAAAGCTTGATATGGTTTACCTCGATGGCCCATTCCCAGCCCAAGGAAAGTCTTCCATTGAAGACGTCTATGATCCTCCGTACTACGAGTGGTTCCAGTGCAACGAGGTTTAACTTTAAGCTGCTAAAAGGGAAAAGAGAACTAAAAGTAGAAATCAAACCAGATCAAATTAATTCATTAAACATATATATTGCTAATGTGCCATTTATCTCATCGGTTTAAATTATATATAATTCAAACATTTTTGTTACAGTGATTTTTATCGTTAAAATTTAAATTTACGTTCAAATTTCTATATGAAACCTATGAATCAAACGTACACTAAGTTTCCTTTTTGTTTGCACTTTTTTTTCCCTTTATATGCTATTTCAGGATTTAACTGAGTTTATAAATTTCAAAGACTGCGTAAAGTATCTAGAGGATTATATGGTGAAGTATGGTCCTTTTGATGGAATTCTAGGGGACTCTCAGGGTGGCAATTTGGCGGCTTCTTTGCCTGGGATGCAAAATGAGGTAATATTGATTAGTAGTACTTAATATAATGCTGTTTATTGGGGCAGTTAAAGAGAGTTTAAAGATTACACTGATTGAAATTGGAAAGTGAGTAAATTTGGAAAAGGCTTGCAGGGAGTGGCTCTTACAAGGGTACCAAAGATCAAGTTTCTGATATTCATTTCAGCTGGCAAGTTCGGAGGAGCCACAATGGGAACGCCTGAACTGGCTGCTAATGCATTTTCTTCGCCTATTGAGCGCCCTTCTCTCCACTTTATAGGTAATTCGAGTACCAAAAATGCCTTGCAGTCAAGGATGAAAATTTCAATATCGGTGCTCTATATTCAAAGAAATTTTAGACATAAATATCAAGAGAAATTATATGAAAATTATGGACACGTTTAGTTCGTTAATTTGAGTTTTTAATTTAAGTTAAGATGTGACTTTATATGAGAGTTTTTTATTGTAACAAAAAAATTAAATATGACTATTTTTTAGAGTTTTTTATTGTAACAAAATTAGAATTCTAAACTGAAATCAATAAAATGAACAAGACATATGTATATTTATTTCATAACTTGCTATTTCCTTTTGATATTTTAGGACATGAAAAAACATTAAAAAGTATAAACAAATAATTTTACATAAAAGATGATTGCAACAAAAGAAATTTACTGATATATATTATAAAGCTCACTGAAATTGATATTTTTTCTGACATCTTCTCGATATATGTGGAAAGTTTGAAGAAATTTTTTACACCCAAAAGACATTTTGTGGCTTTAGAAGCCCGGTATTCCGATATAAATATTAGAAATTAATATCGGCAAAATTTTTGTTTAGCTTATAGTCCACTCTTTTTAATAGAAAAATATGTGATGTAAAGTGTAGTTTATGTGCTAGATAATTAGTAGCCAAATCAAAAACATGATGACACTGAAATCTGAATTATTACTTCAATCTCAATTTAAGAATCTAATTTTATCATGAGGAAATTATATTTTATAAGTTCTCTAAATCTTATACTTAAGGTAAACCCTTTATTAAGTACCCTACCATTTTGTTACTTTAGGCATATGATATGACTTGTACAATTCGTGAATTAATTGCTTATTCATTCTATAATGTAGGAGACAAGGACGCTTTGAAACCAGGAGGGGAAGATTTAGTGAAGGCATTTGTAGACCCGGTTGTTATTCGTCACCCACAGGGGCACACTGTTCCAACACTTGGTTAGTATTTCAATTGAGTTTCAAACTTTCAGATTGGCTTTTGTGCTAAGAAAAAACTAATCTTATTTGTCAAAAAAGATAAAGAAAAAAGGCCTCGTTCACTTCGCGGATTCAAATTTTTAATTCGAGCTGAGATGTGACATTTTTTGAGAGTTTTTCACTGTAGCAGAAAAAGTTAGCTGTGATATTTTCTGAGAGCTTTTTACTGTAAAAATTTAAAACTGAAAACTCAAATTGGTGAAATGAACGAGATATTAAGGAAAATGTAATCTCCTACTCCTAGACTGACCTGAAATTTTCTGGACTTTTCTTTTTTTTGAACAGATGAAAAACAAGTGGAAGTTGTGCTTGGATTCATTGAGAAGATTCAGAATTTGACAAAATTTGTACTGGCATCCCTCTAGAACAATCTGTCGTTCTAGTCTAGTAGTTAGAAACGAGTTGTCGTTTCTAATGCTCCATCTTAACTTTATTTGTCGTTTACTCGTTTATCATGTGTTGGCGCTTGCCTTGGTTGAACAGGCCATGAGCCTTTTATCTAGTTTCGTTTCTGCGCAGAGAGCTTAATTAGTATATTTATTTGCGATCCTGTTTGGTTATTTTCTGGTAATTGTGGAGTTTTCTCGGATTAATGCTTCCTCTTGAGTGTACCTTTGAGCGTATATAGAATAATATACTAAATGTGGTATTTTTATACTCTTTCTTGCCAAAAATATAGCAATGATATTGGCAATAACATTAGAGATAGTCTCAAGAATGACCAATTTTGATTTACAGTATCCCTCAAATTCTTTGATTTTCATGCCACATGTCATATATGTTGTTTTTAACCTTTCTGCAAAATTCCAATACAAAAGTCATGCTCTCAAAATCTAACAATAACATATCCAACCTTTTTTCTTTTTTGCTGAATAAATATACTTATTGAGAAAAAAGATCACTCAAGATCTTCAGATATTGAAAAAAAAAAAAAAAAAAGAAAAGAAAAAGATCACTCAAGATCTTCAGATAATAACACCTCCAACTAAGGGAGGGCAATTCATTTCAACAGTTATTTTCATGTCGGCACGAATTTAACACAATACCATCAGGCTTAAAAACAAACATTAGACAATGAATAAAATCCAGGCACGAACATCAGTTTTCAAACATATGAAAATATCTAAACACATAAATACATACACATATAATATAGAAATAGTAATGTAAACATTAGCAGTGGTAATAATAATAATGGTAAGTCGAAATGTCTAATTATACCTTAAAATTTTGTGTAATTTATACGTGTTATGCTTGTCAATACGAAATCGACAAAAATTACATAGATCTCACAAACTTATTTATTTCTGAGATAATTACACAAACTGTCTATTTTAAGAGCTTTAAATCTAAAAATGTCTAGTTATACACAATATTAGAAAAGTATCTAAATTCTATAAATTTAGAATTTGTTATCGTTTATATCTTCATTATATATTACGACATATTCCTAACAAGCTTTTTTCTATAATTATCTTTTGTGTTTTTTCTGAGCATATTTTTTGAAGTTAACTTGCTTTTTTTTTTTAACCGCAATTGATGATGATAGAATCATTTGTCATTTCATTTTTCCCTCTCACTTTTAATTTTGGAATTTGCACTTTTTAGATGCGTTTAGAATTAGTTTTAAAATGATTTTATTTTCAATAAAAAATAAAAATGAAATTATTTTAAGAATCATTCTGATACCAATTCTGAAATTACGTTTGGTTGATTTTAAAAAAAATTATTTTGAGTATAATAAAAAAGTAAAATCATGTTTATTAATTAATATATTATAATATTATTTATAAGTACTAAAAAATGAAAACAGAAAAGAGAAAATAATTTTTAACTGTTTTTTAAATCCTTTACAAAAATCATTCTTTTTTTATTATTTTAATTTTCAAAATATTGACTAAACAACGTAATTTAGTTTTCATTTTCATTTTTTACTAAAAATTGTTTTTAAACACGCACTTTTATCTCCCTGCCTTCGTTTTTCAGCTTTTGAAGAACTGGTTTGCTTCTTTTTTTTTTTTTTTTTTTTTTTTTTGCTTGTGACTCTGTTTCACGTGGCTTTTCCGGGTGATGTTCCATTCTAATGCATATCACACAGGTTTGTCTATATATAATCTTCATATATTTTATGGCTTAAACGACTATAAACTAACAGATACCTCCCATTCTTTTCTCCGTTTTTTTCTGTTGGAAATTCGTTGTTTGTTCTTATTCTACCAAGAATTTGATCTTACTCTATCAAACAACAAATAAACAAAAATTCTGTTTGAAACAGTTCTGCTAAACAAAAACAGCATTTTGTACAACTTAAGGGGTCTCAAAATCAGTCACAGAAAAGAGATTCACCGTGGGAGGAGTGAATACATGTGAGAGAAAATATAATAGTAAAAAAGTTGAATTTGAATTCTTCTAAGAAAAAAGACTAGTAAAAAGTTTAGTTATCATTCCAATTGTGAAAAAAATGGGGCCTTAGAATTGGCTTGAGGCTTCTTCAAGGACATATTTGTTTAACTATATTAGAGTACCATATTATATAATAATACATTAATACAATATTTGATATGATCATCGTGTTGTATAAATTAATACGAATAATAAATTAATATAGTCTATGTCGTATTATTAAATACGGCTTATTTTTAATATATTGTATTATATTATTTTATAACAGATCTATAATTTATGTTGGGGTTAGGCTCGACTACAGGTCGGAGTTGGACCAACATAGAGTAATGCCAGAGCCTAATAATTTTTTAAAAATTGAAGGACATAATGCAAATTTATATTTTTTATTTTTACCTCTCAATTTTTAAAAATTACCTTTTGATCCCAAAATTTTTATAAAATTTCATCTTAGCTCTAAAATTTTTGTAAAATTACAATTTGATTTCAAAACTTTTAAAAATTTTTATTTTGACCCTAAAATTTTTGAAAATTACATTTTGACCTTAAAATTTTAAAATTTTACATTTTGAACCTTGTACATTATATCATGATACTAAATACCGTATTGTATTATGATAATGCAACACAATACAATACACCTTATATAATATAATACAATACCAACTACCAAACATGAAATAAGTGTTTAATCACGGACATAACATTATGTTTGGTGATGTAGTCCTTCAATACGCCCACGCCTTCCTCTTTTAGAGAAGCCAGCTGCTCGGAAAGTATTCCTTTGTTTGCATTGACTGAATATGTATGTTTCTGTCCTAAGTGAAAATGCGACTTTACTTAATATTGCTGCACCATAATCAAACCAGTCCCACATTTAGAATTTTACTTAATATTGGTAACTAAATTAACCATATTAGCTTGATTTTTTGTTCTCTATGACTCTATTCTAATTAGACCTGTAATTTTACATGAGGCTTTATTTTTATACATCCTGATTAATGAAAGAAATAAACATCAAACCAGCAAAACACCTAGCCAAACGTGAATTTTGAAAAATTTTAGCGTACATAATTGAGATTTAAGAATAAAGGGCATTTGTCCAACTGTGATTCTATCTAAGCTTTTACCTATCAAAAGGTGACACAAGTTTCTAATCCCCTACTTTTTCTAAACAAATTCTTTATAATTACAAATCCACGCTCTTAAAAGAAAAACAAAAATCTCAAACTTACTCAACCCAAAATTGATAATCCACCAGATATAATAGATTCTTGAGCTAAACTGCTCTCATACAATAAGTACCTTTAGCTTTATATCGGCTGTTGACTATTTAAAACAGCAAAAAGACAAAACTCACATCCAAATTCTTTCAATTTTACAAAAAATTGGAAGACCCATGTTAAGCGAAATACTATAAACCTTGATGAGGGTTTATTGTGAGTCAATTTGTCAAAGACATCGTGTTTATTGTGAGTCAATTCAATAGGAATCCAGTGGTACAACTTTGAGTCGGCCGGTCTGTCCGAGGCCCGAATTTTTTGTGCTCGGCGGGCAAGGACCCATGGCCGCCCATCCACGCACTAGGGCGGGCTTGGGCTGCCCGATAAACAACACCATGGCAGAAACCCGCCACCGATTTGCCCGTCCCGACCGTTGACCTTTGATTTTTTTTTTAATTTTTTCCCTCCAACCCGAATTTGAGCCTGAATACCCGAAGCCCACCCAACAGCTAGTTTTTTCAAATTTTTTGCATGACCCGACCCGCCGCCTGAGAGCCCAACCTCCAACGGCTCTTTTTTTTTTTTTTTACTGTTGCCCGATTTTCGGCCCGAACCCGACCCGCCGAATTTAAAAGTAGTTGTTGGATCCAAATTTTGGGGGGAACATCAATTTTTTAACCCAAAGATTTCCCTATTCCCCCTCCCCAAACATTTTCCTTACCCAAACTCTCTCAATCTCTCTCAATTTCTCTCAATCTCTCAAATCTCTCTCACAATTTTTCTAAAAACTTACACAATATCCTAAAGCTCTCTCTCTCACAATTTTTATATAATGGATTCTTTTGGTTATGGTGATATTCTTATTATGCAGGAATCGTAAATACAATCAACTGAGGAACCTGCAAATCCGAGCCGTGGTGGACGTAGTAGAGGTCGTGGTCGTAATGATGGTGGGCGTGGAAGAGAGGCTAGTGCAAGTACTACTGCAAGTGTTGTAAGCTCCAAGAGAAAATGCAAGCACACATCGATAGTTTGGGAGCACTTCGACACAGTTGAGGAGGTCGACAATGACGGTAACACTAAACACATAGCTCAATGTAAATATTACTTTTCTAAATTACAAGGTGACATTATTCACAACACAACACACTTGAGAAGACACTCTGAAAGGTGTATTAAAATGCGTGGCCAAACCGGCAGAGTTGAACTCTACCAAACACAATTATCTTTTGATCACACAACCGGTGGTCTAACAACTTGGAAATACGATCCGCAAGTAGATCGTATGGAAGTTGCGCAAATGATAGCTGCATTAGACCAATCACTTAGTTTTGTAGAGCATCCTAATTGACAACGATATATTAAAGTTGTACATAATCCTGATATACAGTTTACTTCAAAAACTACTCTTAGGAAAGATTTGTTAAAAGTATTTAAACAAGAAAAATAAGCATTAATAAACCTTTTACACTCTACCAGCGGTTGCGTTGCGTTAACGGCAGATATTTGGTTTGTCATTGCCAACAAAGATTATTTATCTGTAACCGGACATTACTTTAAAGGCTTCGAGTTAGATAAGAGAATATTATGTTTTAAATGTGTTCTAAGATCACATAGCGTTGATTTAATTTATAATACAATTTTAAATGTAATTGATGAATATAGATTAAGAGATAAAGTGATGACTATAACATTAGATAATGCTAGTACAAATACTAAAGCAATTGAATATTTCAAAAATAATTTAAGTTTATTCGGTGATGGTGATATTTTTTACCAACGTTGTGCATGTTATGTAATTAATTTAATAGTTATATCTGGTTTAAAATCAATGGCTATTCATATAAAAGCAATTAGAGATAGTATTGCATGGATTCAAGGTAGTAACTCAAGACTATAGGATTGGTTTAGGTTTTTACAAGCAGTAAATCTAACTCTTAGAGCATTAGCCCTAAATATGCTTGTAAGATAGAACTCAACTTATATAATGCTTCAACAATACCTCCCCTATAAGGATGCTATAACAAACTATATCAATGTAAAATTAGAAGCAGGACATATAGACCCATATGATTGGTAAATTGACGAAACTTTGTATAAATTTTTACGTAGGTTTCATGAAGTTATTTTAAAACTTAGAGGAACATATTACCCAACATCACCTTTAGCTTTAAGTGAACTTTTAAGAATTAGTTAGTAAATTTAGGAAGGACCCAATTTTACAAATTCCTATAGCTTCTATAGAAAAGAAATTTAAAAAATATTAGTCTAAATTACTAATATTGTATGGTTTCAGTACTATTTTTGATCCTAGATTAAAATTAGAAGGTTTAGAAAACTTAGGTGAATTTTTAGGCATCGATTGTTCTGATCAATTTCTGAAAATAAAGGAAAAAATATTTTCTCTCTATAGCAAATATGAGATTAGGTTTAGAAATACAAATTTTAGAGTACAAGAACCGCAACAAAGAGATGAAAACCCGCATTCATTCATAAATATTTTTGGGTTGAAGAAGAATAAGAAGACGACTTAAACAGAAGCTGGGAGTGGATCTTCATCAAGAGGTGGTGGCGGCGGTGGCTTTAATGAGCTTATGGCGTACCTCAGCGAGAGCTTAGTAGTCGATGGTAGAGGAGAATTGTTTGATTTAGTTCAATGGTGGAGGGCACGAGCATTAACTTGGCCAGTCCTAACTTGGCAAGTCCTAACTCGAATGAGAATGGATATTTTTTCAATCTCAGTCTCCATTGTTTCATCCGAACAAGCATTCAGTACGACCAGACAAATACTTGAGGAACGCTGAAACACATTGCAAATGGACATTGTTGAAGCTTTCGTGTGCATTAAGGATTGAGATTGTGCCGATCAATGTTTACAAGACACAATTTTGCCAACAAGCCATGAATGGATAGATGAATTTAATAGATTAACATTTCGCTTTGAAGACGATCCTTCAGCTTCAAATTAAATTGTAATTTGTAAATATTTATTTACTTTGGACATTGTAATTGTAATATTTAGACTTTGTAAGTTTGTAAAATTTGTAATTCGTCACAAAATGATTGCACTCTTTTTTTCTTATCAAGTTTTTATCCCTATTGGGTATTTCTTGGTAAGGTTTTTAACGAAGCAATCATAAATTACAAATTTAAAAATTAATATACAAAATTGATTTTTTAAATTGTGTTAATAGTGTGTGTTGATTTTAGTTTTTATATAATTTTAACACAAAATAACTTAATAATTATTTATATACAAATAAAATTAATAAATAATAGTATATTATATATAATATATATACAATATTAAAATATTTTAAAATATTTTTTTTTCGGGCAATTCGAGCGGGCACGGGCTACCTGACCGGGCTCGGGCTGCCCGACCTGGCTCGAGCAGCCAAAACCAAGCTTGTGGCCCGTCCAAGGGTATTTTCAAGCTCGGGCAGACGAGTTCGGGTGTCGGGCTCAAATTCAATTTTTTCGGATGGTCGCGGGCGGCCCGTCCAAAGTTTCAGCACCATAGGAATCTCAAGCTTCTAACCTCCTTATCCTCACCAACTTCATCATATACACCAAAGTTGAAATTTTAAAAAGTTACAATTTTGGACATTTATAAAAATACCCTAGTATGCTAAAACTAAGAGTACTAACGCTTTATTTATAATAAATCATAGATCATGTACAATTCATTTCTAACTGACGTGAGACTTTTTAACCAACTACAAAACAAGCCAAATTTTAATAAAATCTCCACCTTGACGAGTTTCTTGGTCCCACTCACTTCCCGAGTTTGTTGGTGTTTCACTGCAAATGCATTAACATTGGGATCATATATACATACACACATATATATGTAAATACATATATATCATTTTACCCAATATGTACAAAGACATGTCCCGTTCACTTGATTCGAGTTTAGAATTCGAGTTTTTCTACAGTAAAAAGCTCTCACAAATAATCACATCTAACTTTTTTACTACAGTAAAAAGCTCTCACATAAAATCACATCTCAACTCGAATTCTAAACTCGAATCAGCGAAGTGAACGGACCCGTCCCATATTCATATTGCACTTGTATCTCTACTAATTCTGAGGATCAATAGTTATCTAAAATTTCGTCTATATTTTCTACTAGTTAGTAAGATGGGAAAAGGAAATAAATACTTTTTAGAGTGTATGAGTATAGATTTTTATCCCTCATTATTGATTGATATCTTTTTTAGTTAAAGAATTATATTATCAAAAATGTATTAATCAAGAGTAAGGGATAAAAATCTAAAACTATGCACTTTCAAAGTAAATTTAACAATTTTCTCTTAATTTAGTAGATTAGATTTGTGTAACAAACATAAGTGATATTTATTTTTAATTACAAATAATTTTTTATCATTGAATATATATATATTTAATTTTTTAATTACTTATTTTTTTAATTATTTTTAGTTAATTAACATTAAAATATGATGATTATTAATCAAGAGTATTTTTGTCAAAATACAATTTAATTCGATTTCATTCTGTAGTCAACCAAACAACATAATCCTCATTCATTCTATAACTCTAACCAGACTAAAGGATCTCTTTAAGTTTCTAACACATTCTAATTCCATTCCCATTACCATTTCGTCACTGTAACCAAACACGCCCTAAGAATTAATTACATATATATTCATTATACAGGGAAGAAAAAAAGAATATCTGTAAACTGTGATATTCAAACATAAGTCTATAAAATAATCCATAATGACATTTATATTCTTTATTAATTACCTAACTACCCACATAAAAAAATATATCTAAAATAATTTTATCTCAATAATTATAAAATACACAGATTGACAATATTGTTAATTAAAGACATAATATAAATAAGAAGTTTATGCCTTATTTATTTTATGACTTAAGTTATATTTCTACAATTTTTTTTTCACAAAAATTCAAATTTAACTTTTTTACTATAATATTTTTCTCTCATTAATTTGAGTTATGCAAATGAACATACCCTTAATTTAAAAGTGATTATTTTGGTAAATTCTTCTTCAAAGCAGATGCGAGTCATCACAACTTTCTTATTAGGCTTTTGCGGCAATGAATAAACAATGGAATTTAAAAACAATAGAAAGAGAAACCCGCAAACGAAAAAAAAAAAAGAAAAATTGTAAAAAATAGCCATACATTTAAAATTTATAAAAGTAGATGACCAATTTAATAATGTATAGAAATTAATACACCATTTCATGTTTTCAAATTTTACCCTTTTCTTCCTATTTTCCTTTTTTTTATTATAGAAAATTTAGGTATATTAATGATTTATCAAGTTAAAATCACTTAAAAAAGAACAATATAAAGTTTAATAGTAAATTCTAGATTTACTAGTTAGCATTACTTTTTTTAAGAATCGTACAAATTCTAATTGTTAATCCTGAATGTACACGATAAATTCAAGATTTATCAAGTTAGAATCACTTGAGAAAGAATAATACAAATTTTAATGGTAAATCCTAGATATACTTAGTAAATACATGATTTACCAAGTTAACATCATTTTTTCAAGAACTATACAAACTCTAATGGGGAATCCTAAATATACATGGTAAATTCAGGTAAATCTAGGATTTACTAGGATTAACCAAGTTAGAATCACTTGAAAAAATAACACAAATTTTAATGGTAAATCCTAAATATAGTTGGTTAATCCAGAATTTACTAAATTAGCATCACTTAAAAAAGGACAATACAAACTATAGTAGAAAATTTTGAATATACACGGTAAATTCAGAATTTATTAAGAAAATATTTTTAAAATTTCAACTGGTTGTAAATATAAATTTACATCAAATTGATCTATTTACTACTTTTGTTAAACATTGACTTATTGGTGCGTTTGGAACTTGTTTCAAAATGATTTTATTTTTTATATGAAAATGAAAATGAAAACGTTTTCAATCTCAAACAGAAATTATTTTTGAAAACGCGTTTAGTAGTTTTATTAAGAGATTATTTTCAGTATAAAAAAATATATTAATTGTCTCTTTCTAGTCAAGAGAGAAGAGAATGGAAACAAACCATTTTACACTAAACGAAAAAATATTTTTATTTTTATTTTTTTATTTTTAATTATATCAAACATGCGCTTCTTTCCTATTTTTATTTTTTTTTCTCAAAAAACATAAAATATAAAAATAAAAACAACTCCAAATACAACTATTAATTTCAATTTCTTTTAAATCTGAACCTATTTCCCTAATCTCTAAAAAAAAAAAAATAATAATAGATAATAATAATAATGAAAGTGAAACTGAAAGGACACAAACAGGCGCTCCACTCTCTGTAATGGCCTTTTTGACCTTACTGATTGTCTCTCTATACTCAAGAGAGAAAGAGAGAAGAGAATGGAAACAAACAATTTTACACTAAACGAAAAAATATTTTCATTTTCATTTTTTTATTTTTAATTATATCAAACATAGCTTCTTTTCTATTTTTATTTTTTCTTTCTCAAAAAACATAAAATATAAAAATAAAAACAACTCCAAATACAACTATTAATTTCAATTTCTTTTAAATCTGAAACCTATTTCCCTAATCTCTAAAAAAAAAAAAAAAAATAATAGATAATAATAATAATGAAAGTGAAACTGAAAGGACACAAACAGGCGCTCCACTCTCTGTAATGGCCTTTTTGACCTTACTGTGATATCTTTCGCGCTAAAAATGTGGGACTGTTGATCTGAAAGCCACTGCCGTCCTTATCGGTAAACCCGTCGATTAATCCAATTTTCAACAGCGTCTCAAACTTCAAAAAGTCATGAAAGAAAATTCTAAAAAAAAAAGTCATAAAAGAAAGAAAAAAGAAACCTGTTAATTAAAAACCCAAAACAAGAAATTAAAATCCCTGCCTAACAAAACCCCACGCGCCGCCTTACGCGCCTGCGATATCGTCCCCAAGCTTCGAGAAGATGGAGAAGCCCAAGCCGTCGGAGACCGAGAAGAAGCCGCCAGATCCGGTCGAAGATTCGAATCTGAACCCAGATCCGAAGGAGTCCGGCAAGGCTGTGAACGGCGATGGAGAGCGGGGAGGTCTCGCGGTTGGATCTGAATCTGAGGCTGATCAATCGACGAACCGATCGCCGTCCGGATCGAAAAAATCGGTCCGTTGGAGCCCCGAGTTGGTGTCGGAATCTACTTACAACATTACTTCATCTGACGGATCCAATCCCTACGTCGCCTCTTCGCCTGCGAATTCCTCTTCATTCTCCTTCAATGGTGCGTATCTACGCGTAGAATACGTATTTAGTAGTATATGTGTGTGTATACGCGTATGTGTGAATGTTCTGGACTTTTTGTATACAGAGACGGTGTCGTCGGTGAGAAATGTGCTTGGGAGGTGGGGAAAGAGGGTGGGAGAAGCGACGAAGGAGGCTGAGGATCTCGCTAGAAACACATGGCAGCACTGTGAGTTGCGATTTCTTTTTCGATTTCTTTTGTGATCGTACTCTGATTACGGAATGAACTTGCTTTGGTTGAATTTAGATTTTCTTGATTTTAAGTGTCCAGTTTGTATTTGTGTAAATTAGAAGTGACGTTTACAATCGTTGAGTTTGATTTCGTGCAATCGAAATCCGCTGGTTTGGGCAGGATTTAGTTGCTTGATGTCAATTTTAATTAGTAGAAACTGAAACTTTTCGTGCGATGTTCTATACAGGGGAGAATACCGTTGGTCTCTACTCTCCAGTGCCATTGATAAACTATTTGATTAAGTTGTGGTTGTTTTGTATATAAATTATATGAGAGATAAATGATTGTATCACTTTGAAATTAGTTCCAATCATTGATTAATGATTTTTCTTTTCATGGTTAGCTTACCTATTTGATGCCTTTGTTTGCTTGTCCTTTTTGTTTTGTCGTGTTTGGTTTTCTTTTTTGATAGCTCTAATTACTCCATTGGATGCAAGAAAGAAAGAGTTTGGAGAAAGACAGCATATGCAAAATGATTAGAAGACGTCCACTTAGTAATTCGTGGGAAAATCTTGCGTAGAAATTGTTGAAATTTTTCTTCACCCCTTCATTTCACATGGCTAATGAATGGCAATCCATCAAGAGCGATGCATTATCAAAATGTCAAATCATCTTTCAAAACTGGAATACAAGAGTTGTTGCTTGTTCATGATACATATTTCAAAGCATAGGATTAAGCCTTTTCTTCATTGATTGGCTTTCTCATTTTTTTCTGGTGGCTTGATTTTTTCTATTTCATTTCGGTGGGGGTCCCATGTTCACTATGTGTGCCACATGACTTGTTTGAAAACAATTGATCCTAAAATCTAAATTCTTGATTAGCAAGCCTCCTAGCTACCAAAATTTAAGGTTATTGGGTAGTTGACAAGTGAACTGTTTAAGGAATATTGCCAGCTTTATCTTACCTAATTTTCATGTTAATCTTCTTTTGAGCCAATCATATGACTTATGTGAACGATGGCAAAAGCATAATATCTCTTTCCTTACTCCCTCCATCTCTTCTTTCCACTACAAATATGTATTTTGGCTGTGTTATTTTTAAGCTTTCCTAATTTCAAAAGATCTTGTACTTGAAAAGCATTTACTATTAAAGTACTGAATGGGCTCATTTGTCTCTAAAATTAGTGAAAACGGGCCCAAGTTTTGCTGATGCTGCCTTAGGAAGAATTGCACAGGGGACTAAGGTCTTGGCAGAAGGCGGTCATGAGAAGATCTTTCGAAAGACATTTGAGACAGTTCCGGAGGAGCAACTCCAAAATTCTTTTGCATGTTACCTATCCACATCAGCAGGTCCTGTAATGGGAATTCTATACGTTTCTACAGCAAAGCTTGCATATTGTAGTGATGATCCTCTTTCCTATAAAGCTGGTGACCAAACTGAATGGAGCTATTATAAGGTATGTTAAAAATGTCCCCGTACACATATTGATGATAAATTTCACCAGCGCTGTTTGGAATTTGAAGCTGCAAACCATTTCTTGAATGAAATTCTTTTATTATCTGGTTTGAACTGTAAATGATCTTTTTCTTTAGTTTTAGTCTGTTCTTCCAGCAATACTAGAAAAAAGGGAAAAAAAAAAAAAAAAAAAAAGTGGAATATGCTCTGCATCACTGGATTTAATAGAGTTCTCTCTTCCACTCTCTTTTAATTTGCAACATAAGGCAGGGAGAAAACGATGAGAGTTGTTCTGGGAAAGAAACATGTTTCCAAGCAGTGGTGCTCTTACATTGATTGGAAAAATGTGTAGATTGGTTGCTAATTATAGTTGGGGTGTTGCTTTCACATAGCAAGTTCACGTCTTTCCTATCCATCTTTAGCTAGTTCCTTAATGTTCAGCTTCGTTTGTTGTCTCTTACTCTTTTGACATTTAGTATGACATTTAGTGTTAAGGTAGAATATCTAAGTATCTAACTACCTTTAGTTTTATATTAATTTAGTCAATGTTTTCATTGTTTCTTTTCTCTTGTTATTTTCTATCGGTGAGCGCCTCATGAAAATTTCTATCCTTCATTTCGCAAATTGATGTAGGGAGATTTGAGTATTAATAGTCGTTTTTATATTTTATTGTCGTTTGTTCTAGATTTCTAATTTAGCTAAGTTTTGTTATTATTATGTCGTTTATCATAGTTGTTATTTTGTTATCTTTTTCTATCTGAGCTATAAATAGCCACTTCGTTATTGTATTAAAGGGACTTGAATATTTTGATAATTGAATTACAGTTGAGTTTCCTCTCTAATTTGGGGGTTTTCCCCTTTGTGGGGTTCCTTTAGGTGGATTCGAGAATCCTCCGTCTGGGTTAGACTGGTAAAATCCCGTTCTATCCATTTCGCTGCATCATTTGGTATTAGAGCTCTCGGTTTTTCCCGGGGTTCGACACCATGATCGGTGATTGGAGTCACTTCAACGCCGATGAGCATGAAGTTTCATGCTACTGGAGAAGCATGTCTCGTCAGTGGAGTACCCACCAACAGCCGCCTTCTCCACCACCATTTCCGTCCTTTTCATATTACCAACATCATTACCATTATCATCACCCACCATCATCTCCACCAAACCACCACCACCATTATGGTCACCGTCACCGAGACCATAACAACCAGCATCAACCCAACATCCACTGTTCACCATCTCCACCACCATCCTTTTCCGACCACCACCATAACTCTTCTCATCACCACCATCATCACAATCATCCATACTCATCAACACACGAATCCAACAAAGCTAAACCAAAACAATGAACAAACCCAGATCTATACTCACCAAACAATCCCGATTTTGGAATTGAGGTCGACACCCCTTGATTTCAAAGCCAAACAGTCCACAATTGATGCCTTTCCTGAAGAGATTCATCAATCTCTCGAACCAACGAAAACATCCGGAATTTTAACGAACTCGGATCAATCTCGGCCAACGAACTAAGACAGAGGCGACCCTCGTATTCATCTTCGGTTTGGGCCCTCGGCAAACTCAGACGAACACATCCGATGATCAATGATGAATCTCGAGGTCTGAGATCTCCTTCTCCATTGCCTATCTCTCCTCAATCCGGATTAGCAAGTTCTGATCAAAGAAGAAATTATTCGATGGCGGTTACGGAGCTACCAAAATTGAGCCCACATCACGAACATCGACGAGCAGGGCCGAGGAGGTGAAAGTCGACGAAAAGAAGATAACCAACGCGATAGCAACAGCGTTCGCACTAGTCACAGTGGCCATTGTAACCCATCCTAATCTCCTCCACTGGTACCGGAAGTATCTCCGTCGTCTGCGTCTAAAGCCGTGCAGCGCTGAAATATGCCCAGCGACGATGGTGTCCGACGAGGAGAAGAAGCTCAAACTCATGACGGCGGCGATGGCACTCACCTCTGTTCAGTGCCGTTTTTCCCTCCATTCACGTGTTTTGCAAAGTTAGCTCCATCATACCTAGATGAGCACTCTACAATTGACCTAGCCCAAACACATAATGGGCCAAATTATATAGATGAGCTCAACCAACTAGTTGGTCCGTATCTTATGCCTACACCCAACAACCAAGCAGATCCAAATCAAATGAACAAGCCCAATATGCAAAATACAGGCCCAAATCAACTTTCCAATCTGAGCAACAATATTGGTTACATTCAAAATGGTACAACTCAAATTACTTATTTAGAAATTCCATTTTTTATGGTAAATGTGACCCTATGGATGATTTCTTTGATTGGATGCAATTTGTGGATTATTATTTTGATTATATGAATGTGGAAGAAGAAAAACAAGTTAAATTGGTGGTTTGCAAATTAAAGGGACGTGCTCAGGCTCATTGGAGCCGAATAGTTCACCAAAGAAAGAAAGTGAACAAGAGTTTGGTTCAAAATTGGGCAATGATGAAACAACTCTTGTGTGAGCAATTTTTCTCAACTCCCGTTGATCCAATTCTATTCCAACAATTCCGCAATTGTGAGCAAGGGAACCGATCGGTAATAGAATATGGAGATTAGTACCAAAAGCTAAGTATGATGCTTGATGTTGGTGAACTTGAGATTCAACATAGTATTAGATTTCTTAGCGGATTAAAGAAAGAAATTTGAAAAGAAATCTCTGTTTTGATGGTGCTTAATTTGTCCGATGCTATTAATCTAGCAACAAAGGTTGAATGTGATCTTATGGAGCTTAATGAGAGCACTTTTGAAGAAGGGTCTGAAAGGGAGCAATAGATGATTGTTGAGGGCTTAGTTGTGGATGAGCTTAAATTGAAGAAAGATGGCCTAGTTGTGGATGAGCTTGATTTGAAGAAAGATGGCTTAGTTGTGGGTGAGCTTGAATTGAAGAAAGATCTTGATGGGTTTCTTAGCAATATTGACCCATTTTACATTCATCTTGTGGGAGACGTCACTAGTGCATTTAAGTAGTTTCAAGATCAAAGGGGTGAGGTGCCGTCAATGGCGAATAGCTTGGTCATTTTTGGTGTTCTATTGGAGGATTTGGTGCTGCTATAGATTTGGGACGAGCTTCGGAGGGACGTCTCGGTTGGAGTCTGAACAAATTGATGAACCGATTGATGTATTTCTCATAAACTGTACAGCCTATTTATAGATTACAAAATAGTCTACCTAGGAGCTATTTATGGTAACACAATATTCAGCACTAATTACAAATAAAGGCCTAATATACAAGAATTTCCAGCTTGCATTGACTCTGGAAATTAGGGAACAAATTCCCTTAAAACCAGAGCAACAAATTCTTGAAGATTCGTCAACACCCCTCCTCAAGTTGGTAAGTGGATGTTTGCCATTCCTAGTTTGCGGATGATGCTTTGAAATGCAATGCCAGATAGACCCTTGGTTAAGATGTCTGCCAGTTGTCTGTTTGTAGGAACGTATGGAGTGCAAATTAGACCACTTTCTAACTTTTCCTTGATGAAATGTCGGTCGATTTCCAAGTGCTTAGTTCGGTCATGCTGAACCGGATTATGAGCAATACTAATGGCAGACTTGTATGAGCAATACTGATGGCAGACTTATTATCACAGTATAGCTTCATTGTTCCTTCCCACTTGATCCCTAAATCACTTAGGACAATTTTAATCCAAAGTAACTCACATATACCTTGAGCCATTGCTCTAAATTCACCCTCTGCACTTGATCTAGAGACTACAGTTTGCTTCTTGCTCCTCCAAGTTATCAGGTTTCCTCCTAGGAAAGTGCAGTAACCTGTGGTAGATCTTCTATCGATGATTGATCCTGCCCAATCTGCATCTGTGTATGCTTCTAAATCGAGTCTGCCATTTCTCTTGAATAAGATTCCTTTTCCTGAGAGAAAAATTCCAAGCTTCGAGTGAGCTACTTTAATTCCTAGAAAATACTTGAGCTTTCCTAGGTCCTTTATTTCAAACTCCCTGGAGAGATGAGTCTTCAACTTCCCAATTTCTTCTGTGTCGTCACCTGTCACAATTTATGTCATCAACGTACACAATTAGAGCAGTGAGTGGAGAGAATATCAATAAGTGACTTGTTTCCTAACACTCTACTGGGCAAGCGATTAATCAAATATGTGGCTGTTAGGACGGCTTCTCCCCAATAGAATTTAGGCACATTTTTTTCAAACAACAAAGCACGGGTGATATCAAGGAGATGGAAATTTTTTCTTTATGCAATCCCATTTTGTTGGGGAGTATCAACACAAGAGGACTCATGGATTATACCTTTTTCTTGGAGAAATGGTGACATGACTTGATTGAAATATTCTCGTGCATTGTCAGACCAAATATGTTTAATACAAACACCAAATTGAGTGGAAACCATTTTATGAAACATAGGAAAAATTATACTCACATCATACTTGTTTTTCATAAAAAATACCAAGTAGTCCTTGAAAAATCATCTATGAATGAAACAAACCATCGAACCCTATTAATATTTGAAATTCTAGAGGGTCCCCACACATCAGTATGAACTAAAGAGAAAGGTTGAGATGTGATTGACTCCAGATCAAATTAGCAACAAACAGGGCAATTCAGAAACGAATCACTAGCGGAAAGCTTTGATTACTAACAATGGCAGAAAAATCAATTACAAGATTGATATGGGGATTTTTGAGAGATCCCGTGCTCTCCCTATCTTTCTTCTCTCGGAAGCTTTACAAAACAGAATGATGCTCTTATTCTATCTCTATCTTATTTATACACACAAACCTGCATTCCTCAACTCTCCTAAAGTCTAACTAACTTCGTAACCACTTGCTGACTCAGCCCCTCCCTCCTTCTTTCCATCGAGCAAGTCCTTACGCTTCCTTCTAGCATAAGTGTAATGCACGGGGGGCTTATCAAGATGTTATTGAATTGCTTAAAGGATATGAAACTCTATGGTGTTTGGCCATTTGACACACCTCACAATTGAAATCTTTAACATCGATCTTATGAAATAACAAGGGAAAGATAGTCTTTGACAAAGGAAAAGATGAATGACCCATTCTAACATGATATAGCCAAATATGACTACGAAATGCAATTGATTTCACCATTACCACCACCAGTGTCCAAGTAGTAATGCCCTTACCACCAGTGTCCAAGTAGTAATGCCCTTCCTGTTCCTTACCATGCCCAATCATCTTCCCCGTATCCTGGTCCTAAATTTCACAATACGTAGGATAAAAAATCACTTTACAATTCAGATCAGAGGTGAGTTTTTTAATTGATAATAAATTGACTGACAATTTGGGAACGTGAAGAATGGATTTTAGAGAAAGAAAAGACATGAGATTTATGGTTCCTTTTCCAGCAGCAGCGGCAAAGGTTCCATCGGCAACTTTTATTTTTTGGCTGCTAGAACACGGTGTATAAGATGAAAAAATATTGGAAGAATGTGTCATATGATCGGTGGCTTCTGAGTCAATTATCTAAATTCCAAAAAAACTGCTCTTCGAAGTACTTAAGGAATGAGTTGAGGAAAACTTACCTGATTGGGCCATGGAACATGAACCCGCTGGTTTTTCAATTGTAGTGAGAAAGCTTCGTAGTTTTTAAATTTCCTCCTTATTCAGCCCATTCACTTCGACAGTAGTAGTGTCTTCTTCGGTACTAGCGATGTTGGTAGCTTGATTGCGCACTACATACTACTGCTGTGGGTTGTTTCTCCTCTGAAGTTTCCAGCAAATGTCTTTGGTATGACCTGTTTTCTTGCAGTAGTTACAAAACAGATTTTCTCTACTGTTCGAAGGTTTGATCTCTCTATTGCTGTTCTAAGGTCCGGTCGTGTTATTCGGGGTCCTTGGAGTCTCGTGTTTCACTGAATCTCCATTGATTGTTGCTGAAGTCATGGCGATCAGCGCTGCTCCTTCATTCAGTGGGGTTTCAAGCATGATTCCCCTCCTCCCTTCTTCACTTCGAATGGTGGAAAAGACTTCACTCAGGCTTGGAAGAGATTCTTTCCCGAGTATTTGGACACGTACTTGGTCGAATTCGACATGCAGCCCCGCTAGGCACTCGTAGACTCTTTCTCCTTCAACAAATCTTAACATCATGGCTACGTCTTCACTGCACTTCATCTTAATATTTTGATAGTAATCGAGTTCTAACCAAAGACCTTTCATTTTATTATAGTAATCGGTGACCGAGAGAGTACCTTGTTTGGTTGAGTGAATTTTTGTTTTGATTTCAAAAATAAAGGTTGCATCACGAACCTTTGAATAAGTTTGCTTCACCGCGTCCCATATGTCCTTTGCAGTTGTGAGAAACATGCATGTCCCACTGATTTCAAGCACCATTGAGTTCCAAAGCCATGGCATGATCGAAGAATCTTCTATGTCCCAAGCAACAAATTTTGGATCACTCTCTTCTGGAATTGGACCTGTCAATTGACTCAGTTTTCCCTTACCCTTTAGAAAAGTCCTCACGAGTTGCGACCATACAAGATAATTATGGCCATTAAGCCTAAACGAGGGCTGTAAATTCTGATATTCACCCGAGGATTGTTGAGAGGAATGATTTAATAGGGTTTCGGTACTGGGAGTGCTAGTGCTGGAAGTTTGTTCTGTGTTGGAATTTTGAGACATTTTTTCTAATAAAAAAAAAAAGAAAGGCTGGCACGGGAAGAAAAAACAGGTATTGAAGGGCCTTTTTCAGCGGAAACAAAGGGGGCGGAAAGAATAACCCTATTGCTCTGATACCATGAACAAATTGATGAACTGATTGATGTATTTCTCATAAATTGTACAGCCTATTTATAGATTACAAAACAGTCTACCTAGGAGCTATTTATGGTAACACAATATTCAGCACTAATTACAAATAAAGGCCTAATATACAAGAATTTTGAGCTTGCATTGACTCTGGAAATCAGGGAACAAATTCCCTTAAAACCAGAGTCAACAAATCCTTAAAGATTCGTCAACAGAGTCTACCATTCCCACAAGACCAAAAGGGGTCTCTTTTTGTTGACTTTTTGAGCTTCCTTCATTCTACATTGCCGCTAGCTACTATTGGTTCATTTCCGAGTGCTTCTACTGAACTCGAGGTCGAGTTCTTTTTGATAGACGGGGTGAACTGATATAGGGAGATTTGAGTATTAGTAGTCGTTTTTATATTTTATTGTCGTTTGTTTTAGTTTTCTAATTTAGTTAAGTTTTGTTTTTATCACGTCGTTTATCCTAGTTATTTTATTATCGTTTTCTATGTGAACTATAAATAGCCGCTTAATTATTGTATTAAAAGGACTTAAATATTTTGATAAATGAATTAGAGTTGAGTTTCCTCTCCAATTTGAGAGTTTTCCCCTTTGTGGGGTTCCTTTAGGTGGATTTGAGAATTCTCCGTCCGGTTTAGGCCAATAAAATCCTGTTCTATCCTTTCCGCTGCATCACAAATGTTTTTGGATATATGTTTTTTTGTTGCAGCTTTTCTCTTTTAATTATTTAACTTATCTTATTTTCATGATTTTTAGCTGCAATATCTTGACACTGTTTTCTCTCTAATCTCTAATGTTAATAGGTTGTTATTCCATTACATCAGCTCAAAGCGGTTAATCCATCATCAAGCAGATCCAAACCCTATGAAAAGTATATCCAGGTTATCTCTGTTGATAATCATGAATTTTGGTTCATGGGCTTCTTAAATTATGATGGGGCTGTGAAATGCCTACAAGAAGCTTTAGAAGGCCGCATCTTACAGTCTGCTTGAAAACTGTCTTGTGAAGCAGCATTCACCCGATTGTATTACGCACTTTAGCTGAAATCAAGAAGTTATACGGCTTCAATAATTTATATCATTTCATGGTTCACAGATGAGAGATTTTTGGGAGGACAGATGATATGGTAGTTTGAGTTCTTTTTTCCAGTCCATGTATTGGGCTTTGCATGTTGTAACTTTCTTGCAAACCTGAAACGGGCATTAAATTTTTTTGCGTAACTGGCAAGTTTTGTATATTTTCAGGTGATTTAAGTCTTGAATATGTTTCATTGACCCTCAAAATTAGGTCCGGTGACAAATTGGTGCCTAGATAGAGGTAGAAATTAGAGATTAGACTCTAGAGTGGTAAGTTATATTGCTAGCTCTCAGGAAGAAAAAAAAAAAAAAAGGTGGTATGCTGGGATTAAACTGGTCTTGTGGTAGATCTACTTGGCACAAAGATTACTGAGCTGATACCTGTCCCGTGTTGCTAAAAGTCTTGTGTAAGCGTCAACAACGGAGGAGAATTTCATTGGGTAACTCGTTTGTAGATTTCTCTTTGATGGGTAGAAAGAATAAAACCAGTACTAGCTTTATTTACAACCGTGCTTCCTACCAACTCCATCAATTTTCCCAGATTGGGATATTGATTTAGCCACCACTTGAACCTGCAACTGCTGCCTCTGCCTACTTCTTGTGCTTACTTTCCCAGCCTTGCAGGTGTGGACTTCCGACTGCTTGGGTGCGCTAGGCCTGTATCCCCAGATTTTCCCATACTGTTCTATTACCAGGTCTGTATATTTCATGCCTAGCTGTGAATTTTTTTTTTTTTCTGGAAGAAAATAAAAGCAAGTTTTTCTCTTGGAATTCGCATATGCTTGTTCCACTTGAAGTCTTGTAGTTCAAAGTGTACAAATTAATATTCGCCCAACAGCAAAGCAAGACCACCCAAACCAAACCATGGTTTAGTAAAGGTTCTGGGGTCAAATTTTCCTTAAAGCGCAACACAATTAACCAAATTGCAGCGCATATATTCATCTTGAATAACTCATATATATATATATATTTATTTATATCTGTGTGTTACGTTCCTATTGGTAATTATCTATTAAATATAGTAATTTGATGATTTGATTTGACGTGATAAAAATTTAATCTCATTAATTGTTATATATTTTTTTAGTTAACTATCTAATTCAGTACAACCGTCTGATCATATCACATTTTTACAATGAGAAAATTAGTGAATTCACCTTTTAATTGCATTGTTATAAGATTTTTACCCTTTATTCTTAATTAATACATTTTTGACTAATATAGTTCTTTGACTACAGGTTTTAGTCAAAACTAAGGGGTAAAAATTCTTGTCCATACATTCTAAGGAGTATTTCTCATTTTCTCAAAAATAATATTCACCGATAGATAAATATTAGAGTAACTATTAAAATTATAACTTTTTTGACTTTATATATCTACATTAATGGAAAAAATTAGAAATATTGCTCAAGATGGTAAAACATATTAAATATGTCACTCCACTGAAAAATAAACAAAATGTCACAATAGCAATTTAATTATTTAAAATGACATAAATAATAGACATTCACAATATCATGACAAATTATGTACTTTTCTCAATTGAGTAATTATATTTGCACCCTAAAAATTCATTTTATAATTTATGTTTATTCCAATTTCACCTTGTATTATAATTACATTAAAACCCATTAACATATCCTCACATTAGCTATAAATGGAAATTGTATTTCTATACACCCACATTAATTATAATTAGAAAGTAATTTTAAAGGAATAAAAAAATACCCCCACATTTCCAGTTAAAGCTAATTTCATCTTCATAAATCCTAAAATTTTCTCTATCAAATTTGAAAAAAAAAGCGCTTCTCTTGAAGAGCCAACAAGTGCTAAAAACATGTCGATTCACAATATGCACAATTATGTAAGAATTTCTTTCCATTTGAGTTAAGGTCATACATACGATTGGTGAAAGACATTGTTGCAAATGGAAATTGTGGTTTTCGAAGAAGAAAAATAAGGAGTAGGAGGAGGTAAGACAAAGACAATTAATAAATAGAAGTAAATGGATTTTTTTTTTAAATTTTTTTATGAAAGGTAAATGGAATGGCAAGATTTTTTAAAAAGAAAATATAACATTAATAATTAAAAGATATTATATTATTTTATCAATCAAGATTAAAATTAGGTGCGGTTATGAGAGGGTTAAATTAAATATTATGAAAATTATATCTATAAAAGGATAGATTTTACAAATTTTTATTAAGGAATTATTAATTGATGAGGCTATTAATAAATTTTTAGGTGTAAATATAACAACTCTTCTTAATTTTCAAGGTGTGGAATATTTTGTGATTGACCCATTTCTTAAAGCCCAAATTCCAAACTTTCAACACTAATGAGACGTTTGATTTACGATTTATTATTATGATTTTTAAAATTTAATTTTTTTATGAGAAATGAATGCTATAAAAAATTAAGAACTATGATTTAGAATCATAGACGAACCCTTCAAACAAATTTCCAATAAATTTGGTGTGTCTATCTTAAGAAAAAAATACTATAAAAAATTAAGAACTATGATTCAGAATTATAGACGAACCCTTCAAACAAATTTCCAATAAATTTGGTGTGTCTATCTTTTTGACTAGGCATTGAACAAAGTTCTGTTAGTGGCAGCTCGGCCAAATGTCACCTTGAACACCCTTGCTTCTAGTGAAATACATATTTGGGCCTGAGGCAAAAAGCCCAAAGCTAGCATTAGGTGCAATTAATAAAGTTAGAAATTAACATTATTTTGTTGGTGATGACTCGTCAGTCATGAGCCATGAGTTGTTACCAATTAAAGAGGTAGGCCAATATATCTACACGTAGGTGGGGTATCACTTTTCTCTCTTTCGGCATTTGTGATTTCAGACTAATCCTCTACTTAAGATTGTTCTAATAATTGGCCCTATAATGTCCAAATCAAGGAATCTATCTATAAAAACTGTGTACAAAGCATGCTTAGATTTGGAGCAAAGAGAATATAAAAGCATGCTTATATATGACCCACCAACGTCTGTCATTCGCACGCGCATATATACGTCGTACCTTAAGATTGCACTAAATAATTGGATCTTAAAAGTGATATTATTAAAGCAATGGAATTACTTTTGAGGTCTTAGAAAAGTCTCCTCATATTTAATTGAGTTTTTTCTAATATAACATTTCTATCAATATAGTCAATTTTTAAGTGTTAAATCTATTTAAAATCACATTAAATAAAAAAAAATATACATAATAAATAATTTTTAATATATATTTAATAACTTAAAATTCTTAATATCTAATCGCTTGTGCTTAATAATCTTTCTAGTCAAAAAGTAAATTCTATAACCACATCAAAGCACCGAAATGAGCTTTTCTTTGGATCGTTTTAGTTCAAAAAAGTGTAGAATCGGTGAAAGTTCAAAGAAAGTATTGGTGCAAAAGATTTAACACTGAAAAAGAAAATGACCCGGGGAATGAAAATGGTCGTTTTTACTTTTTGGTACTGTTCTGCAAAGAGGAACCCTGGAAGCTAGAACGGGAAGTTAAACGACGTCGTGCTATGCTATAAGCCAAAAGTTTTCTTGGTCTTGTTTTCTATTCACGATCATCCCTTTAAAGAAGTCTTAAAAAAAAATTTTGAATTCAATTAATAATAAAGGCAATATTTCTGTGGCCTAGTCCTTAATATCACATCAAGAGACTTATGACTCGTTCATTTCACCTATTTGAGTTTTCAGTTTTAAGTTTCTACAGTAAAAAGCTCTTAGAAAATGTCACATTAAAATTTTCTGTTACAGTAAAAAGCTCTCAGAAAATGTCACATCTCAACTCGAATTGAAAACTCGAATCCGTGAAGTGAACGAGGTCTTAATTTCCAAACTGAACCAACAATAAGAAATTTCGCAGCTTCTTTCTTAACATAGTAGTACATTATCTTTTGAATTAGCGTTAATTGCTATTTTTGATGGATACAGAGAAGATCAACATATGACCTCTATCGTGCATAGATGAAACACATAAAATGATAGGACTTTGGTTCATGAATTCAGAATCATGATTTAAAATTTTTTTTATTTTACGTGTATTTTTTATGAAAAAATATACTGTAATGAACTACAAATTATAATTCAAATAATAACTTGAATCGCTCTCCCAAACGTACGCCGAGATAAATCCACTATTCATAACAAAACAAAAGTCCACATTATACGAGTTAAAATTAGGCCGCGATTATAAAGTAGATGTAATGGTCCTCTTACTCTATCTAATACTAAATTATATATTTATATGGGTTGATGTAAATCATCCTAGGTGACAATTTACTTTAATGGCCTTATAAAATATGTGAAATTTAATTGGGATCAATAGTCCTAAAAATATGTGTGATATAGGAGTACTGCCGGCAGATAGATATTAATTATCTATTTTAAATATCTTCTACTTTATTAATGGCCCAAAAGAAAATAACAGAAATTCTCATTACATCCAATTTGATCGCATGGAAAGTTCTTGGTTGCAATTGATTACTAGGTCAACTAGCAGTGTAGTACCGCTGATATTAATTGTGCAACGTGGTGATTCCAGGGTTTTTAGACTTTTAGCAAACGGGGATTTTCTTACTTCTCTTGAGGGTAAGTTTTGCTTGTGGGGGTAGGATATATGTATATTTCCCAATTTATTTAACATTTTTGACAAAAAAGCACAATTAAATTTAAAGCCCCAAAAGCTTCTTTTCATTGTATATATAAAATTCCCTCGGTAACCATTTCCAATTGATAAATATGCAATTTCACTGTTCCATTAAATCATTACACTTCATCAAATTAATTCTCTTCCCTCAAAATAATAATAATAATAATAATTCTCTTCCCATCATATCCTCTAAACCTACACAGTTAATTTAGTTCTCCTTCAAATGTACCAAAGTTTTAGGGGCTTGTCGGTGGCCTTTGGGGACCCTTAGTAGGCAATCATGTTTTTCATTTTTTAGCTTTCACTGTCTCACATTTTGTTCCAAAAGTTCTTGTTTCTGGCCCCTTCTCAAGTTATTTTTTTTTATAACTTTTCACTTTTCAAACTCTTGGCCACTAGAAGAAACTCCACACTCAAGTACCCAATGGTTTTTTTCTCCCTTTTAAATGGAAACTTCATTATTACTTGACTAATTTAATGACTTTAGAATCTTACGTTTACCTATATAAATATACTAGCACTTTTGGGTTTTTATTTTTTATTTTTTGAAAGAAGAACCTATGCACCAAATTAATTTTTGCACTTATTTCTCATCCTTTTCTCTTCTACACTTTACAAATCTAAATATTGCAATGTAACTAGAAGTAAGGTTGGGCAAAAAAAGTCATTTTTTTATTTTAAAAAAATCAGTTGTTACCTCATTTCTTATTTTAATCTCATTTATTATTTTAATCAGAAATAGCGAATTGTTCGATATAACTAGAAAGAAAGTTGGCCTTTTACTTTATTTTTTAATTTTACGAGAACAATAGAATGACTTCAAAAGATAATGAAATGATAGACGGATCTCAAAAGTAATGGGATGAGAAAAATGAGAATAGGAAGATAAAATAGGGGGAAGTTTTCCCTCTCCCAATATCCCTCCCTTTTAGTGTAAAAATTGATTAATTGGATCAGTCGATTACTCCCTCTTAGATAAGTTCTTTTTTCTTTTTGTATGCTCTCACTAGAGTCCTTGAACAATAAGAAAGACACCATAATTAGTCAAGTAAGCAATTTGAATAAGGATTATGAACATGCCCTTACTCATTCGATCAATTTTTTAAAGTGGAATTCATGTTGTTAAGTTGAATTGAAAGGTGGGTTCTGTCGAATCATATATATCCCGGCCAAATAGCGTTTCATGATCTTTTTTAATTGATAAATTAGAAACTCCA